CCACGTTGTATTTTGTCATGTTGAGTATCGCAGATGTATTGTACCATATCTTGAAAGGCGGCTGAGTTCAAACTTCCTACCATGACGAGGCCCATAGCTAGTCCAGCAGCCTCCCCAGAAACGGCATCATCCAGATACAGAGCATCACGTAATTGCAAGTATACCTAAAAAAAAAAGAACGGTGTCAAGAACGAGAAGCATTGCAATGCAGTAACACTACATCTTGATTTTGTGTTCCCATTGCCGCAAGTCCTAATCCAAGACAGGCACCATGCCGGACAGCAGATGTCTGGGCAGCAGCGAGTTGCTCACGCAAATACTTGATGCAGTCTTCAGTGCCATGATTCGCATGAATGAGACCTGCATTCCTTATGATTATACATATGTTTAGCACCATGAAAGGCAGAACCGATTTTGCATCCTACCCTCTCTCGAGATTCTCTACACAAAAAGCGAATTATAACATAACAGACAAGCTACAAGATAAAAGTACTTGCTTACCGAGGGCATAGAGCGAACCACCCTCCTTGAAACCGAACTGGTCCGCTTCCGTTTTAGGCAGATATGGCTCCAGAAGCTTCATGGCAGCAGATTCATGCCCCTAGATGTTACATGATGAAACGATATGAATCAATCACCCACAAGATAATGCTTACCTTATGAATAAGACCCAAAGTAGCCACAGCGTTGAACTTATTCCAGTTGGTAGCCTTACTTATCCAGTCCAGATTGTCACTGCAAGACCAGTAATAAAGAAACTACAAAATGCAAGACTCTCTATTACCGCAAAAAGTCGTCGCAAGTTGTTCCAAGATGCATGAGACCATTAGCCATCAATGTCGCGTTATGAGCAGTAGCTGTTCGGACACAGTCTTTCATTTCCTGCAAATTCTCGATGTCACAAAGCAAATGGAAAAGTCAATCGATACTGAAGACCTTCAAGATCAACATATCCGTGTGGTTGTTTTTGATCAGAAATTGCATGTGTTGTTTGATAGTCTCTTCTCCCCGCAAGATTGCTTTCAGTCGAGCCATTGGGGAAGACGGCTACAACAATGCAAATTTCATGCAACTAATGCGCATTACTACACAAAAAGAAGAGCTTCCATCCTATTTTATGGCATACCCACCTCTTCAGTGGGTTTCTCCTCGGACTTCGCTTCAGGCTTACTCTCAGCCTGAGGCTGCTCTTGCTGTTGTCCTTCTTTCGGCTCAGCACTTGTTTGTGATGGAGTCACTTCCATTTTCTCTTCTTTTGGAGCAGCGCTGAATAGTTTGTAGTCTATTAGAGCACGAAAGTATGCAGTTACAGGCAGACTGAATAGAAAAGGGGTTTTACCTCGTCGATGGTTGATGAAGACCTGCGTATGTGTTCAGCACTTGAGTATTGAATTGCTGGGAAGCATTTTCATACAAGTCAAAAGCAATTTGATAGGCGATGAGATCTCCGTTCTGAAAGTAGGACTGTTCTGCGCTATGACCACTTGCTCGCAAATTTATCAGGTGTTAGCCGCACAAAA